CCTGCTTCTTGATCACCCCACCTCGCTCCCGCCCCTCGCCCCCTCTCCCGCTCTTCCGTGCATTCAATCCGGGCTCTCACAATCTCCTCATCCACCTTTTCCCTCTGCCTCTCCCCAGTCCCTTGATCTTGTGCATATCGACCTCTGGGATTCTTACCCCACAGCCTCTCGTCTAGGTCACCACTATTTAATCCTTCCCGTTGATGACCATTCTCAATTTACCTCTGTCTATCCCCTACGTGCCAAACATGCACGTCTTTTATTTGGGCATCCTGATGCTCCCTTCCATTTTCATTGTGGTTGGGATTTCTTTAACCACCCTCTCTCGAACGATCCGTCGTATTAATATCGCCAAGGTACACACAGGGTAAGGCAACACCAACACACAACAAAGCTACAGTAGCAATCAGCTAACCTAACATTCCACCAGCCGCCCCTTCCCCTTCTGGCCCTAGTGGCCGGAGGGGTCTTCTAATAGTTGGTACAGCTGGCCCTCGCTCAGAGTGAACAGGCCCTGCAGGCCTAGCACGTCCGCGGTAACAGCCTCATGGGTCTTATCCCTGAGGGCGTTTGCTTGAGCTCTCTGCAGGGTCACGCTCCATCGCTGCCAGTACTCGGTAAGTAGCTTAGCTACCTCCCTCGACTTTGGGGCGGCATTAAACAGCCGCTTTGCCGCTAGCTCCGCGCAGCTGTGAAGGAAATCAAGGACTCCAGGTGAGGGGTTGTCGTATGTCTCAACAGCCATGGCATAAAAGCCCACCCACGGGCTCAGCCCGGCGTATTTGGTCTCCTTGTCTGCCTGCATCCTAGCCGCCCACCCGGGTGCCTTACGGGCATGCTCATCCTGGTGGGAGACGGGGTCTGTGACTGTGATGTCACAAATCCACACTGCACCGGTGTTGGGATGGCGGATAGAGATATCCGCTTTGAGGTTTTCAACTGGTGAGTATGCCGTTGTCTCATTGTGCACTGTGAAGCCTGCTTCCGCCGCTATCTTCGCGCATTCATCTCGCAAGGCATTGTGAGTGGCGATTCTCCCCCCCCCCCCCCCTCTTTCTCGCACCGCATCAGGTGGTTTGGCAGGCGGCCGTCAGGGAAGGTGGTGTGGTACATGCAGTTGCAGCGTCTTGGAACAGGTAAGGGCAGGCCCAGGCGGAAGGAGGCCGCCGTGGAAAACTGGGATGGCCCGAAGCGGAGGGAAGAGATCAAGGGGACGGCGTGCAACCAGTCCCCCGCCCCCAGGCCTAGGAGGGACTGCAACATCTGCGTATGGCCGGACAGCGGGTTCAAGTCCATGTTCCGCGGGCTGTGTGTACCGCGAGGGAGAGGGCCTATTGGAGCTTTCGCCCGTCAGGCTTTTGTTTCCCCACTTGCAGAGCCTCAATCTCGTCAGGAGGCAGCTCGGCTTCCAGGAAAGCTAGGCGTCTTGGGAGGAGGGAGGTGGATCCCTCGTCAGCATCCATCAGTGGCAAAAGTCTTGTGAGAGCCGGGTTTGCCAAATCGCCGAAGGAGCGCAACAGGTGGGCAGCGGAAACGACCGAAGCCAGGTAAGCGAATCCCCCCTCCACTGCAGGATTGGTGATGCTGAGGCCTCCCAGGGACGTGGGCAGGGGGGCCTGGTGCCAGATCCTGTCCCTCTCCACCGGGTCCCTGGGGATCGTTGTGTGTGCCACGGCCAGGTAGGTGTGGAGCAGTGCTTCCCCCCAGGCAGACCATTCCCCCAGCGGCAGAGCCTCGAGCGGCGTGGCTCGGACCAGAAACGAGGCGCGGCGACTCACACAGCGGGTGAGCAGTAGCAGGCATAGTTGCGGGTCCATCTGAGAGAGGAGCGTGAGTGGTTCGGCTGCTGCAGCCAGGCGTACGCGCACTCGAGCAGCACAGCCGGTGGGGGGTCCAATGGGGCTGCCTAAGACGCGGACACCGTCTAGGGAGATTGTGACGCCAAGGGGTAAGGTGGCAGGGTCCAAGGCGGCCGCGGACCACGCCTCGCACTTCGCCGGGTTGCGAGCTGAGGAGGGCCTCTGTGAGGTGAGTGAAGGCCGCCGTGCAGTTCGCCGTCTCGCCTAGCAGAGTGATGTCGTCTGCGTATGCAAGCAGCACCACCTCCTGGAGCGGCCAGGAAAAGGGCCGCTTTGGCGATAAGGTGCAGCAGACACCCCTCCACAGCTATCGGCCGCGTTCCACCCTGCGGTTTCGAGAAAGCCAGTAAGCGCGACGCTGTGAGGAGGTCTGCCACATCTACATTCAGATTACCAGCAAGCGCCTGAGTGCGTGTAGCTGTAGGAAAACGTCTCCGTTCCCAAGGGAAGCCCAAGCGGAAGAGGATGGAGGAGGAGTAGTGGGCGGGGCAGAGTCGAAGGGCGCTCGTCAGGGGCAGTGCCACCAGCCAATCGCCGGCTCCTGGTCCGAGGAGGGATAGGAGGCGTTGCGTGCGGCCCATGAGCGGGTTCGGGGACATGCGCCGGCTGCTACGGATGCCGGCGACAGCCTTAGCTGAGTGGACGTGCAGCGCCAGTGCGTGTTGCAGCTTCAGCCCGTCCCCCTTCTCTCTCCCGACCTTCATCACAGCCACTGTTGAGGGGGGAAGACTGGCTTCCGCGGCGGCCAGGCGTTGGGGCAGTGCAGCTGGATTGGTAGGGTCCGCGTCCAGCAGTGGCGTAAGTTCAGCCACCTCCTGGTGCAGCGTGGAGCCAAGCGAGCGCAGGAGGTGGGCTGTTGCGACGGCCGACGCCAGGTAGGCGTATGAGCCTTCCGTGCTTGGGTCAGTGAGTCCCAAGCCTCCTATGGTGGCGGGGAGGCTGGCCTGGTTCCAGATCCGTTCCTTCTCCGCCTGCGCGCGCGGCTCTGAGATTTGCGCCGCGGCAAGCAGAGTGTGTAGCAGCCGTTCACCCCACGCGGACCATTCAGCTGTGGGCAGGAGGGCCAGAGGGGTGGTGCGGGCGAGGAAGGATGCTCTCCGGCTGATGCAGCGGGTGAGCAGAAGGTAGGAGAGTTGGGGATCCATGCGCCCCACTAGTGGCAGCGGAGAGCTTGCTGTAGCGAGCTTTTCCCGCAGCTGCGTGGCACAGCCGTCGACTGTTCCGACTGGGCTGCCGAGGACCAACAAACCGGCGCGGTTGAAGCGGATCCCAGTGGGGAGGTCGGCGTCGTTCATGGGGCCAGGTGACCAGGCTGCGCATTTTGCAGGGTTGTGGGCTAGGCCGATGGGGAGGAGGTCGGCCGTGAGGTGGTTGAAGGCGGAGGTGCAGGCGGATGCGGGGCCGAGGAATGTGATATCGTCCGCGTAGGCAATGATGACGACGTTCGGAAACACAGCGGCGGTGGCGGTAAGTGAGCGTTGAATGCCAGCCGCAAAGAGTAGCGGCCCCATTGGGTCGCCCTGGCGGACTCCACGTGCGCTCGTTGGAGAAGCTGCGTTGAAGCCCGCGTCCACTTGTAGGGTGGAGGCGGAGCCGTATGTGAGTCTAACGAAGGGGAGCAGGGGGGCGAGTGGGGTGGATTGCAGGCCTTCGAAGACGGCCGCTCTTTCTATGGCGTTGAAGGCATTGGCTATGTCCATCTGGAGTGCGATCGCGGTAGGTTTTTCCTCCAGGTATGTGCGGATGATATGGATGGCAGCTTCCGTCCCCCCTGGTACTGCTACGCCGAGTTGGAGAGGTGTGAAGAAGTCGCGAGCGGCCGCGCCGGTCAGGTATAGTGCGCATTTCGCGATAAGGCGGTGGAGGCATTCGCCAACTGCTATGGGGCGGATCCCTCCTCCAGGTTTGACGAACGCAATCAGTCGTGAGATTGTGAGTAGCGATGCTGCCTCGGGACACATCTGGCCTGCGAGAGCTGTGTTGGTGAGTGCGTGGAGGTGTTGGCAGACATCGGGGTTCCCAAGAGCAGCATCACGCCAACTCGGTGTTCGAAGGTTGTGCCTGAGGGCCCAGCTCCAACTCCGTTGGGGCATTTGGCGATGATTTTGCGGAAGTCGCGAAGGGGTATGACTGGTGGGGTGTCAGTGGCGTGGCTGGTAACCCAGTCAGGGATGAGTAGTTCGGCAGGAGGGTGGCGCGCTTGGAGGGCAGTCAGGGTGTCAGGCGTGGTGGGGGCCACAGGAGTGGCCTGGAGGGCTTGGAGGGATTTTCTCAAATTCCCACGTTTGGCCAGGCCTTCAGCTCTGGCCAGGCAACCAATCTCGTCGGTAGTGTGTCTGGGTTGGGCTGGGAGCTGAATAGCCTTGGCGGCTTCCTCATATAATTCCTGCCAATTCCCGCGGTCAAATGAGAGGATACGGCTGCTGCAGGCTGGCCAATCTGGGCGTTTGGTGTTGGGAACACGGAGGATTAGGCGCGGGAGGAACAGCAGCAGTCGCCAGGCAGGTTCGGAGTCAGGGTTGGAGGCTAGGGCAAGGAGGGGGGTCAGGAGGCATTTCGCAAAGGCATCGCGAATTGCTTTGGGAGGGTGCCTAGCCAGGCTAGGTTGGCGGCTATCACTCAGGTGGGAAAGGTCCCAGGTGGAAACCTGGGCGAAAAGGTCCCTGCGCTTCGCCAGGTCTGCTGGCGAAAAGGTTGGTTGGCTCGGTGGCGGGGAAATTCCAGATCCGGCTCGAATGTTGGTAGCTTGGCGTCTTGCAGATCTGGGCTCCAGCTCTTCCAGGCTCTCATCCTTGGACGAGGACTCCAAGTTCCCCGCCCCATCGAGTGTAAAAAGGGGGTCACCCTGATCATTCTCGTCATTCGCAGTCGTCGTGTTGTCTCCCTCCTCAGCCTCTCTTAGCAGCCCCCGCGTTACACGCCTGAAGTCTGTGGTACCCCCTCCGCCTCGCAAAGTAGCGCTCGAGTCGCCCTCTCCTCGGCTGCGGCGGCCTCGTCCGCGGCCTCCGCGCCTGTGCGTCGTCACGCTTCGCCCTCTGACCGGCACTGACGCCGGACGCCGCTCTGGAGCGTTCGGATCGGGGCGCAACGTGGAGCGTGCCGGCGGAGTCCACCATTGACGACCCGCTCCCGCGCGTGGCAATGGCGGGCTCGCGAACCCGCAGGCGGGAGCGCTCGCCGTCGCGTCCTCATGGGGTGCGGCGCAGCCCGCCGTCGCGTCTTCACTCGCCGTCTCCAGCGCTCTGGCCTGATGTCGCACGGGGCTCACGCTCCCAAGCGTCGTCTCCGCGCCTTCGGTCTCCGCGGGGGGGATCTCCGCGTCGGCGCGAGTCCCCTCGTCAGGCCTCTCCGCGCCGTACGTCGCCTCGTCGCCCGTCTCTGCCGCCACGAAACCAGGGTGGCGGCAGCGGCCAGTCGCGTTCCCGTCGTGCCCCCCGCCGATGGCGTGCCCATCAGCCTGCTCCGGCTGTGGCTGCGGCGACTGCAGCCGCAACTGCGGCGACTGCAGCCGCGACTGCGGCAGTGACCGCCGCTGTGGAGCGCGCACTCGATGGGCTGGATGAAAGGGTGCGCTCGTTGTCGCGTCCAGATGCTCCCGTCGTGCCGTCCGTGAGCCAGCTGCCTCCCCCACTCGACTTGGCGCCTCATCCTCCAGCCGTTGTACCTCCTCTTCCTCTTCCTGCCCCGCCTCCAATACTCCCCCCGCAGCAGCAGCTCCGCCCTCAGCAGCCCCTTCATCAACAGCTTCCTCCTCAGCAGCTTCCCCCTCACGCTCGCCCGGATCCGCAATCCTTGGCAGGACAGCCCGACGTGGCACCGCTTCCTCTGCGCCTCCCACCGGGGGTGTGGTGTGTGCCTGCGGGGGGTGGGCCCCCTGTGTATCAGACGTTTGCGGAGGCAGGGGATGGTTGCCGTGTTGAGCTCCCCCTGTACGGAATGCCCCCGCCTCCTCCCATGCTTCACCAGCAACCTCAAGCAGCGCAGACAGGTGGTCCTCTGGGCTCTCAAGTGCTGGAGGCGGGAGCAGCAGCGGGGATGGTGGCGGGGGTTGAATCCCCCCCTGCCTCTCCCACTCGGCGATCTGCAGCCCGTCGGCACTCTGGGATTCGGGTTGCTCCTCGCGTGGCTGTGGGAGGGCTGTCCCGCCGGCGTGCTGACGTTCACCGCGTGCTTGAGGTGGAGGCTCATGTGCTCGCTCGTCTGGGCCACGTGCGGTCGTTTGTGGCCTTCGTTGGTCTGATGATCGACAATGCTGCTGCTGCTCTAGAGGATGTTCCCGAGGAGTTGAGCGTGATGAACCACGCGCAGATGCGGGCAAGTCGGGATGGCGTGTGGGTGCTGCAGCACGAATTGGAGCGGGCGGAGATGGAACCCGACGGAGATCCTGCGTTGGGCGCGGCGGTGGCCGACGTGATGAGGGTGGTGGAGTCGCGAGTGCGCTCGCGGTCAGCCGTAGACGTGTTGCGAGGCCTCTCGTCAGCACTCCGCCTTGTAGACGGGACGACGGAGCGGCTCCTGCGGCGCGCGGAGGTGTCGTGATTATTGTAAGGCGGCGTCGGCGGCGGTAGCATAGTGTCGCCGGTGGTATGCCCGGTGTTGTCATTTTGCTAGATTCTTGATCTTCTTGTTGGTACTCCTAATGGTCCTTGTATTGATATGGCAGCCGGGTACAAGCATGCGAGGTATAGAAGCATACACACAAAAGCAAGTCCTACTCTATACCCCCCCTACAGATCTAGGAGGGGCTCTATCACTGCAAAACAATCTCCAAGGTGCAACTCCTGCCCGATGCCGCCCACAGGCGGGTTCTCAGCTGCAGCTGCCTCGCCCATCTTCATCAGGAGGCCCACGGATTGTGCCCTTTGAAGGGCCACTGACCATCTCTGTCGAAACTGATGTAGAAACTTTGCGGCATAGTATGATTTTGAGTCGGCGTTGAAGTGCCGCCGAGCCGCCGTGTCTGCCAATAGCTTCAGGAAGGTCGGTACTTCCGCGCATGGGCAGCCATAGGTGTCGACCGCCAGTGGGAAAAAGCCAACCGTCTCCGGCCGGTTGGCGTAATGTTGGATCTTCTTATCAGCTTGTTCCCGTGCCGCCCATCCCCTGCCTTTCTGCGCCTCTGGGTCCCTCGTGCTTATGGGATCCGTGATAGTGACATCGCACACATACACCGCCCCACTGCTTCGATCCGTCATGGTAAAGTCGGCAGTTTGCTCCTCGATGGGGCAATGGGCGGCCGACTCGCTGTGGACAATGAAACCTGCGTGCTGCGCCATGCTAATGCATGCATCACGCAGCTCGTTGTGGCTGTTAATGCGGTGTTTGCCTAAGCCGCAGCGCAGGAGATGGTTCGGCAGGCGGGGGTCGGTGATAGCCGTTTTGTCCGCGCAGTCACAATTCTTAGGAGTCGAGAAGGGGAGAGCCAGGCGGAATTTGACGGAGTTGGCGAAGTGTACAGGGCCAATACGCCTCGTCGCTTCCATGGGTATCGCGGTTAGCCAATCGCCGGCGCCGTATCCCGTCAGCGAAAACATGCGCTGAGTGTGGCCTGAGAGTGGGTTCAGCCGCAAGCGCCTAGTTGCCTGGACCTGCACGGCGTATCTGCTGCCGTGCACCTGCAGCCCGAGGACGTGTTGAAGACGTATGTCCGATCGCTCCAACCGCTCCTTCTCCAGTATCTCACGAGCGTCTGTCGGCAGCGCCTCCTCACACCCCTTCACCCAAACGTGAAGTGGCGTGCTGGTGTCCCGCGGCAGGAGCATGTGGTCCCGTGCCTGCTTCAGTGCATTCCCGTCGCCCAGCGTGAGGTCGTTGAGAAACAGTGCCGCCTGGGTGAAGCTCGCGGCGAAACCGTAGACCCCCTCAATCAAGGGGTTCGTAATGCCTAGCCCCCCTAATGACGGAGGCAGTGACGCCTGCTCCCAAACCCTCGTCTGCTCCGATTGGCAAGTCGGCATGCGGATGTCGCAGGCGGTAAGGAGCGTGGTGAGGAGGTCCATGCCCCACTGGCTCCATTTGTCGCGGGGAAGAAGATTGAGGGGCGTCGTCCGTGTCAGGTACGCAACACGCCTCGATATACATCGCGTGATAAGCAGTGATGCGACCTGGGGATCCGTTCGTTCGATGAGCATCAGCGGCTTCGTCATGTCAGCTAACTGCTCCGCCAGAAAGGAAGCCGCGCCGTCGTCCGGTCCCAGAAAACTGCCCAGTAACTGGACGCCGTCGTTTGAAAACGGCACTCCTGGGGGTAGGTGCGGTGCTTGTACCGTGCTGGAGCTCCACGCAGCACATTTTTGGGGGTTGTGCTCGAGCCCCAGGAGTGATAATTTGTTGGTGAAGTACGAAAATGCCGCTACAGTGTCTCTTTGTTCCCCGATGAACGTCACGTCATCCGCATATGCCAAACAGAGCACCCCGGGGTGTGTGTCTGCCGTATCGCAAAGTGTGGCATGTATTCCTGCTGCAAATAGCAGCGGGCCGAGTGGGTCCCCCTGGCGGACACCGCGTTCGCTTCGCAGTGGTTCGGACTCGAAGTTTGCATCTAGGAGCAGCTGCGACGGGTTACCGTATGTGAACTTGACGAGCGGCAGGAGCGGCGAGAGGGCGGGGGTCTGTAACGCGGTGGCGATGGCTTGTCGCGAGATGCTGTTGAATGCGTTCCTGATGTCAGCTTGCAGCACGAGGCTGTCTGGGCGGGCGTCCAAGAAGGCCCTGGCCGCGTGGATCACAGTCTCGGCGCCACCTGGCACTGCCACGCCGTACTGTAGAGGGAGGAAAAAGGCGCGAGCTGCCTCCCCCATCGCTAACAGGGCTGCCTTGGCTGCCAGCCTCGTCAAGCATTCGCCAATCGCGATTGGCCGAGCGCCACCCCCTGGTTTGTCCAAGGCGACGAGGCGCGACGCGGTTAACAAATTCGCCACCGTGTCTGGCAAATTTCCTCCCCAAATTGTATTAACCAGGGCGTGCAGATGGGTGCTGACCAGCGCATTTGTGATCGCCGAGTCGCGCAAATGCTCGAATGTCATCCCCGACGGCCCAGCCCCAACTCCATTTTCGCATCTGCCCAACAGCTTTGCGAAATCCGCGTGAGCGATTGAAAGCGTTGACTTCTCTGGTGTCGACCAGGTCACCTCCTCGTCAACAGCTGGTGGGTGCTTCTGGCGCAGTTCCTCCAGGATTTCGGGGCTGGGCGTGCAGACAGGCGTTGACTCCAATGCGAGAACGGCTCGTCGTAGGCTGCCACGTTTCGCCAGCCCCTCGGCTCGTTTGATTACTCCTGTCACGTCTGGCCTGTGCCGGGGCGGGGGTGGCGCGTTGACTGCAGCAATCGCGTCCAGGTACAGTTGCTCCCATTCGCCACGTTGGAAGGCCCGCAGCCGGGCCTTGACTTTCGGCCAGTCCGGTCGTTGCGGCGAGGTTTGGAGAAGGGTCAGGCGCGGGAGAAACAGCAGCAGACGCCAACCTGTTTCCGACTCCGGGTTTCGGGAGAGATGCAGTAACGGCGTCAGTAACACTAGCGAGAACAGCTAACACAGATTTGGCGGTAAGCGCCGCGACAGCGAGGGCTGACGACTGTCGCACAAGGCCGCGACATCCCAATCCCCAATCGCAGCGAACAGGTCGGCTCGCTTCGCCAATTCCTCAGACGAAAATTAGCGGGGGGCCGAAGCAGCTGGTCGTGATGCAGCCCCCCTACTCGCGGCCCGATTTCGTCGAGGGCGACTCGGTCCCGCTGGTGAGGCAAATGTTGGAGGCTCTACCGTCCGATCAGCATCGTGCGGCGTGCGTGCCTCTTGGAGCGGATGTGCTCGTGCTGTCCTGGCCCCGGCTTCTCTTCTCCCAGAGCTCACCCTCACCCCGTCTCCTTCCTCCTCCCCTTCATCCTCGCTATCCGGCGTGGCGTCTCTCCTATAAGAGGGGTCCCTTCGCTCGTCCTCTTCATTAGCTGATTGTACGTTAATTAAAGCCACACGTGCTGCCGCTTGGTATCCGTTCTCTGGGCCCCCGCCAACTCCGCTTCCTGCTACGTGGTTCGTCCCGCGATCTCCTCGCGTTCGAGATGGTGGTGATTGCTGGAGTTCATAAGCCGTTGCCAGAGCGCGCTGTCGCCTGGTCGGCTGTCGTCGCCAGGCCTCAGTCGGGACTCGAAAAGGGGACCACGGCGACGAAACCACTTCTACCGCCTGCTCCGAACGCCGAGACAACAGTCTCTGAAAAGACTCCTCCCCACGCACCCGTGGCTCCGCAAGGTGTGGCAGAGGCTGGCCCGTCTGCTCCTGTTGCACCTCCTCCCGCTCCGCCTGCGGCTCCCGCGCCCCCTGCTCCCGGGGAAGCGGCGGTGGCGTCTGTGTCTGCTGGGGGGGCTGCTGCATGTCCTGCCCCTGCGCTTGGCGCGTTCGTTGTACCGGCCGCGTCTGTCCCCGGCGTGCCCGTGCCGGCGTCTGCTTCTTCCCCAAAGGCGGCGTCCGCCACCACTGTCGACCCGGCTCCGTTGGTTGCTCCTCCTGGCGCGGAACCGGCGGCTCCCGCTCAACTGCAGGCGGCCCTTGCGGTGCAGCCGTCTCGTCCCCCGTCACCAAATCGCCGCCAATCCCGCCCTCATTCTCCCGCGCCTCAAAGGGAGCGCGAGACGTCGCGGCGCCGGCGCAACTCCCCCCGGCGCTATCAGCAACAGGCCCAGTGGCCTGCTCATGCTGGGGGTAATGGTGACTGGAGGGGTTTCCCCGGGCGTGGTGGTCGCGGGAGGTATCGTCCGCCTGTGACGATGGCGGATCTTCAGCGGGAGGTGTCCCGGGCCGTTCGCGAGGAGAGGGCGGCGCAGAGCCAGAGCAGTTCGCCGCAAGCCGCGTCGGCGCACTTGGTTCCTCGCCCACCTGTGCCTCCTGTGGTTCCTCCGCCGGCTGCTCCGCTTCCTTCCCCTGTCCTCGTCCCGTCAGCTCCCTATCCTTCGGTGGCGGCGCCATCTCCGGGCTCTCGTCTGCATCTGCCGACGGTCCCGCCTGTGGCGGGGGTGGAGTTTGTGGCCGCGAGTGGTGACACGGCAGCGGCTCATTGTGCAGCTGATGAGCCGCTCCAGTTCCTGGCGGAGGCACTTCAGCCTCCGCAGACGCGTGTTTCAGAGTCGGCTCTCGGTCAGCTCCACCGCCTTGCAGAGAGTCTCCACGCTTTGCTGCTGATACAGGTCCTTGCTCACTCCTCGCTCCCTGGAGTCCCTCCTGAGACGTTTCGCGACCGGCCGCGCGAGACTTGCTTGGTTGCGGCAGACCAGCTCGCCGTGCTGCTGGCGCCCGTGCTGGCTGCGCCCGCGGAGGGTGGCGCTGCTGCTGCGGGACAGCTGGACGAGGCTGTCCGGAGCTTGAAGCGGCACTTGCGCGCTGGATCTGGAGCCGCGGCGATCGGCGCAAGTACGCTGGTGGTCCGGGAGCTGTGGCGGACATTGACTGGCATTCTTCATGCCCTTGGAGCTCGCCGGATGTAGATCCGGGCTCCGCTTGCCCCTGCGTGGCCATTTGTGCTTAGGATTGTGTTGATGCCGCCAT